CACCCACTAGCTGAGTGACTATCACATCACCTCCCTGAACCTCAGTTTTCTCCCATCTCAGAGGGAAGGGATGGTTAGACTATCTGAGTCTAAAAGCTCCTTGAACTACACAATTCCAGATCTACTCCATGGTAGAAGACAGTTATGTCAGTCATGTTGGAGACCATCTAGGCTGTTGAAGAGTCAGAAGTATAACTCTGGTAGCCAGAGAGATGAGAAAGGACATTATTATCAAGGCCTTCGTAATAGGAAATTGTCGAACACAAACTACATGTACAAAATAATTCATCTCTTGTTAAATAATGATAAGGGTTAACTTTTTGTTAGAAAATATGATCGTACTTTGTAATGTCTGTTTCAGAAAGGTGGAAAAGAGTAGGTAAAGGTCCCCTCACCATTCCCACTTCCAGAGGTAACCACTTTTGTGTCTACTCCTTAGAAATTCACCATAAGCACCTATAACCACATTGCTACTGCTGCTGCTCTTTCTACATATATACATATTTTAACATACTATTGTCTTTTCATTAAATAATATATCGTATCACATATAAAATGTATAACGTTTTGTTTTACTTGTCAATTAACAATGTACCTTAGATATCTTTCCTACAAGCTCATATCATTCTACCTTTTTGTGGAGGCTAGTATTCAATGGTGTAAATGTTCCAGCATTTTTCCATAAGATCCCTAATGATATTGATATGGCTAGAATCATTTCCAGTTTTTCACTACTACAAATACTCATTAACATATTTTTGAAGGATAAATTTCCTAGAAATGGACTTCCTAAGTCAAATGGTGTTTCTAGTATTTCTTTTAATTTGCTATTATGCATTTAAAAATGGTTATTTATTAAACATACTGAAATTCATAAAAAAACAAAACAAAAAATAGGATAAAATCTCATTTTCCAGGGAACATATTGATTAAAAAAAAATAGATACATGCACACAATGTACGTACATAAAAATAAAAGGTTCTCCTACCTTCTATTATTGTTTCCAAAGGTAACTATGTTGGTGACTTATTATATACTACTCTTTATTTTATTTTTATTATGAATAGAAGCTGGTTTATAAAATACACAATTTAAAAATTTCATATATATAAACCATAATCTACACATTTTTAATATCTTAATTTTCCCACCTACTAATATATTTTAGGAAGCTTTATTATTAACATATTACTGCACATTAATTTCATTCTTTTGAATAGTTGTAGAGTATTCTAATATTTAATGAAAAACAATTAATTGTCCAGTGCATAGTTTATGAACACTTCAGTTCTTCAGTATTTTGCTATTATAAACAATTCTGTAATAAACATAAGATTATGTTGAGCAGTAAGTTGTTGAGCAAAGGGAATGAGTATAAAATTTTGGTAGACATTGCCAAATTGCCTTCAAAAATACAGCGCTGACTTATATTCCCACATGTAGTGTGTGTGTTCTATTTTAGTCAGCCTTTTTACTGCTGTGACCAAAAGACCTGACAAGAACAATTAGAGAGGAGGAAAAGTTGATTTGGGGGCTCATGTTTCAGAGGTCTCAGACCATAGACAGTGGGCTCCATTTGTTGGGGGCTCAAGGTGA